CACATGAGTGTGGAAACCAAATTTGGTTACCCTAACTCTTATAGTCTCTGAGATCTAGGCGCTCAACAAGACGGACAGACAGACAGACAGACAGACAGACAGACAGACGGACAGACGGACAGACAGACATGGCTATATCGACTCGCCTATTGATGCTGATCAAGAATATATATACTTTATGGGGTCGGAAACGTTTCCTTCTCTGCGTTACACACATCCACTTTTACCACAAATCTAATATACCCCTTAACTCTTTTTTGAGTACGGGTATAAAAATTAAAAAATTTAACAAGAAATACCTTTTGGAAGGTTGCGGGCCCAACTGCCAATTGGGAACAAAGCAAACGAAAAAGTGTTGTACATTTGGTACCTGTTCGCGTTCCTTTGGTATGTAATGCTGTTGACAGTTACTTTTTTCGTTATACCCAATCTGAGGTAGGATACCTGTTCAGGTCAAATGTTTCCTTAATATTCTCACAAGTGCAGGTCCACACAAATTAGATCTCGTTGCGTCTACCTAATCATATTTCAATATAACCAAAGTAGAAATACCTGAGATATGGGATTTCATTCCTTAACCCATACAACAATCAGTAATTTTTAGTCTTTTCAGTCAATTCTAAGGATATACAAACTTTTTTATTTGGTGTTATGTTGCTACAAGTTTTTAAATATAAGTGATACATTTGGTTTGCTAATGCTTATTAACATTTTTTAAAATAATTTAAGTTTTCTGGCTGTCTTCCTTTTGTATTCGAACCAGATTCTCTTATGAGATTCCACACATAGTCGCCCATCATGTTCTCATTCCAAACACCTTGATAACGTTGTTCCATAGATTTAAATTGTTGATTAAATCTCTCTTCGTGTTCATCACTAACGTCGCCTAGGTTTGTCGGAAAAAAGTCCAAGTGGGGGAGTGCAGGAAATGGAAAAGTCCATATTTGACATATGGTTTTTTTATAATTCTTAATTAGCTCATGGACGATATTAACCTAATCATCAGACTTGCTGTTTCCAAGAAAGTTTGTTACTACCATTCGGAATGAGTTCCAAGCTGCTTTTTCATTCTTAGATAAAATATTTTGAAATCCATCATTTTTTAGTAGTTTTCTTATTTGGGGAATATCAAATACTCCTTATTTCACTCTTGCCAGCGATAGACGTGGAAAAACAGCTTTTAGGTAACGCCTTCCTTATCCAGTGCTTTAACAAAATTTTTCATTAGTCCCAGCTTAATGTGTAATGGTGGTAAAATAACGTCTTTAAACTTCACGAGAGCTGCATTCTGTATGTTGTAATTTGGCCAGAGTTTTCTCGAGTAATGCTGTTCTCTAGCTCTACTATCCCATAGACACAGGAAGCAGCAGTGTTTTGTGTAACTGTAGTGTGTACATATCCAATACCCACTGTACCAAGTGTACTTAAGGGGAACACACTGTAACACTTTGTTGCAGTGTTTATGTAATTAAAAGTCCCAGGCATAACTTTAGCTATCGTTTTACGATCGCCCAAGAATGCCTTGAGCGACATAAATGCAGCGTCAACATATTCCCATCACTTGACGGCATATGCATACTAGGCTGGGCCAAAATTTGAGGAACATTTTTTTTCTGTTTTTTCAAGTGGACACCCCCCAATTCTGTTCTTTGTTATTCAATAAAATTATACAATTTTTTCAAATTTTTAGTTTAATGTTTGGGGGTTGCTACCACGAAAAGAAAATAAAAATTTTTGGGTAAATATACATTAAAAAAAAAAATGTAATTCTTCGGTTTTTTTCAAATAATATTGAAACTTTGAAACTGGTTCATATTGATAATAAGGTATTTTTATACCCGTACTCAAAAAAGAGTTAAGGGGTATATTAGATTTGTGGTAAAAGTGGATGTGTGTAACGCAGAGAAGGAAACGTTTCCGACCCCATAAAGTATATATATTCTTGTTCAGCATCAATAGCCGAGTCGATAGAGCCATGTCTGTCTGTCCGTCTGTCCGTCTGTCTGTCTGTCTGTCTGTCTGTCCGTCTTGTTGAGCGCCTAGATCTCAAAGACTATAGCAGCTAGGGCAACCAAATTTGGTTTCCACACTCATGTGATATCACACTGCTACAAGTGTATTTCAAAATTTCGCACCGCCCCCTTCCGCACCCACAAAGGACGAAAATCTGTGGCAGGCACATTTTTAAAGATACGATAAAACTAAAAACGCAGTATCGTAGAGAATGACCATATCTACCAGATTGCCGAATCTGAATCAGATCGGATCATAATTATAGCCAGAATGAAGAAATTAATTTTCAGTTGCTTCCCCTGTCCGCCCTCCGGCAAACGACAACGCAACTCATTTTCCTTCTCGCTCGCACACTCTGCCGCGTTCAGTGCGCGATCAACCCCTAGCGGAGGAGATGTAGAATCTAAATGGAACATGTACATTGTATAATCTACATGTTAGATGTAGAATATACATTGTTGATGTAGATGTAGATATCAGATGTAGCAAAAATATGTAAAATGTAAAATTTTTTTTTTTTCTAAAATTCTAAAAAATAAGATCAAAATAAGATCAAAAATGTATATACTGACTGAGTACGGGTATAAGTAGAGTCGCGTCCCCAGAAGCGACTCGCACGTTCCTTCTCGTTTTTTTTTAGTTACTGTTAAAAAATTAACGATTGGTGAAAATCAAGAAGTTCAGCTGAGGTTGATATATTTGGTTAACTAGTTCGCAAAAACTTGTACAGGTTTTTTACTGCCAATAACTGATTAATGACGATATGAATGGTATCAATATATATGCAATAGATTTTACTAATAATCCAAACTCATTCGTAAAAAAATTTTTTTTTTATTTTTCTTGATTACATTTTTTTGTAAAATTCGGTAGCAACCTCTAAAAAATAAAAAAAAAATAACATAAAAACATTTTAATTACTATTAAATCCAAGGAAACAAAACTAGGGTAACGTTACCTTTTGAATTTCGAAAAAAAAGTTTTTTGGCCCAGCCTAGTGTATACACATACACATATACATATTCCCTCGCGCCCTCGCTGTCAGCAGCGCTGGGCATATACACATATATACAATAACATACATTGCGGCCGCTCCGCTGCCGATGTCTGGCAGCGCAGCTGCGCGGCTGTAGGCTAAAGAGACAACAGATATTGTCAAAAAGAACGGATGTTCTTTTTCAATGAAAAATTATGAAATAAAACTGATCATTACATAACCACCTTGCAATCCCGTTAAAATGGCTACGACTTTTAAGACACACGGTACCTTCCACTGGTGCTCTTTATATTTTATATATTCAAACAATTTAGCCATTTAAAACTAATTCAAAACTGTTCGTGAACCAAATGACGCGTCCAGAAATGAGTTATTTTGACATCTTCGTTCCATAAAAGGGCATCCTTTAAAAAAGATCCTCCTCAAATCGTTCAATTTTTCCTGTGAAAGAGGCTTGCAATATCTATATTGTCCTGCTTGGTCATTACTTGAATACGTTGTTCCATGCGACGAGGAAGATACCCCTCCGTTTTTGCGGCGATATTTCCTCTGAAGTACGAGCAGGAAGGGTAAAATATTTTAATGTGTTTCCCAATTCCAGTTATTTTTTACTGAACAAAAGAAACATTCTGGGTCGTGAATATCTGTTTTTTCCACAGCACCAGGCTGTCAATTAAAAATTTTTCATAAAAAAAATTTTAAGAAAAAAAATAATGTTTAGTATTTTTGGTAAAGTTAATAGTTTGTGGATTAGATTTACTTACTTTTCGTCGTAATCATATGTTAAATGTTAAATTCAATCTACACATTTGGCATACAGCTTGGTGCCCACTCTTCAACAAAATTTTCGGGTTTGATTTTAAAGTTTTCTTCATACCGTTTTTTTGAGAGTTTCGGTAAAAGCGAGTTTTATTTCGTCATGTACCTACCACATATGTATCAAAATGAGTCTGCTTGAAAAGCACATCAAATGTTCAGCCAGAGGTATCCATGACAATTGATTTAAATTAATTGTAAGATGTTTTGGTAAACACACGATCGTATTCTGAGGGAAAACAGAACTACACTAAGGCACAGAGTTATATATAGTTTGTGTGGACCTGCACTTGTGAGAATATAAAGGAAACATTTGACCTGAACAGGTATCCTATCTCAGATTGGGAAAACGAAAAAAGTAGCTGTCAACAAAATATGTGGTGGACCTGCACTTGTGAGAATATAAAGGAAACAGTTGACATGAACAGGTTCCTACCCAAGATAACGAAAAGGGTAACTGTCAACAACATTTTAAACCAAAGGAACGCGATCGGGTACCAAATGTACAATCCTTTTTGTTTGCTTTGTTCCCAATTGGCAGTTGTACCCGCAACCTTCCAAAAAGTATTTTTTGTTAATTTGTAGACTTGGCTAACGAATTTAAGCTCTAAAGTTTCTCCATAGATTTAAATGAGCAATTCCTTAAACGACACCTAATTAATGCACCTAAACACATAAACATACAGAAAAATCGGTCATTATTTCGATTACAATCTAATGGAATAGTGTTTAGGAGAAACCTGAAGAGACACTCAATGGAGTGGAGTGTCGATTTCCTCAAAGCCTCCAAACTGCTTTCACCGTTATTACAATTTTAGTGAAGATTGATAAGATTAAGTGCAGGTCTCTCCTGCTGTGGAGAGGGTTAAGACAGACCTTTGGGTCACATCTTTTTCCTGTTTGGGATTGCTCTCTTTTGGCGTGTGCCAGACTTTTTTGTTTTAAGTTTGTGTATCTCTCCCGCAGAGACAACTAAGTGGACTACCTAAGGGTTGTCTGTTCCAAAACCTGCAACCCATTCGGTGTTCTCTGAACTATCCCAGCAACACGTTGGACGAGACTAATTTTAATGTTATCAATTGAACTTTTCTAGATAGCTCAGCCGAATAGGAATAATTTCATTTTATTTTACCTCTTTCATAGCAGTATTCAAAATAAATTTAAAATTTTTTAGATGTTGGAAAAATTACGTCCTCTCAAAATCACTTTGGAAATACTATACAGAGTCAGTTTACCACCAAAAACAACACTAGGGTAATTGCCCAAAAAGGAGGGCTTGCCATTTTACCCTGTGTCGTCAAAATTAACTCTCCAGCAACGGTAAGTCATGCTTTTGTTTCTTAAAATAAACATAATTTATCATCTCTATACAGTACATACACAAAAATCATTGTGTGAAGTCCTGCAATAACTCGCGAACGGCTTGACCGATTTGGATATACATATGTATAAATGAGCATAAATTGTTTAATTCAAATACATTTTTTTTTGTATTTCAATGAGCGCCCCCTTCCGCCCTCAAAAAGGACGACGCAGCATCGTAGAACTGCATTCGTTCGTTCTTTTTCGTAGTGACCAGACGTTTTTTTTTTTGCGCTCCGCTGTTACGTCGCCCCCACCCAAACGCCCGCGGACAATGTCCCACTAAACACAAAAGCACAATCCACCACGAGCTGCAACTCGTAAATTCCAAGGAAAACATACTCGGACTCAACATCCGGCTAAGAGCTGACCCGGCGGTTTCGCAATACATAAAGTAATACATTATGTACAATAGATGCTAAGCTTCGAGTAGGAACAAGTTTAATAAAATATTCATTCTGATATTCGATACCAAACAAGGCAGTTGACTTTTTATTATTCGACCAACAAAGTCTACCAAGAGACTCCGATCAATTTATTGAACAACATCACCAAACAAAACCTCTACCAGGAGACTGAGACCAGGAGGGACTGGTAATTCGGCTGCATGCCTAATAATTGTGTAAAAACACAACTTATTTAATTAATTTTGTGCGTCGGCTAGTCGTGTGTTTGTAAGTTCTCTGGATACGACCATAGCGTTGCTAACCCCAGCCCTTCCGCTCACTTTACCTGAAGACTCCTGACTATCTGAACGTGTCCGCTGCTTTCATGAAGCCCTGTTTACGAAGCTTAATAACCTCATTAGGGATTTTGATTGGTCCGCTCTGTACTTGTACACTGACGTTATGAAAGGCACAAACATTTTTTAAAAGGTACATGACACACTTTTTTAATCTTGTGACCCACTTTCTTGTCCGGTTAGATCTGGGAAGCCTTCTTGGTTTACCAAAGACTTATCCAGTCTAATAATCTTGAAATCAAGACTTTATAAAAAATTTCGAGAAGTTGGTTCTCCCTCTTCTCTTTCTTGCTATGTAAAAGCTCGGTCAAATTTCTCCGTTCTTAACGCTCAATGCTATAAAAACTACCTATCTCGATGCAGGATACGATTTTTACAGGACCCTAAACAGTTTTACAGCTTCGTAAATAGTAAGCGTAGAACGTACGCACATCGCTATCATTTCCCAATATTTCAGCAAAGGGAATTGCCGGTTCCATACAACGTATTCTCATGAAAGCTACTCTGGTCAGCCGTATCCATACAGTTCACCATTGTCGAACGGCATTTTCAGTTAAGCCGATGTTTTCACCAGGTCCTGACGGAGTACCCGGCTGTGTACTCAGGTACTGTGCCGACGCTCTGCTTAAACTATTCACCCTATCCATTAATTTTTTAGCTTCCCCCCAATCTGGAAAGAATATTTTATTATTCCGCTCCATAAGAAAGATAGCAAGCCTGATGCAAATGACACTACTCGGCTAAATGGAACTTTTTGACCCGCTGTGGCCCAAAACTACTTTATCTGATAGATTTCGGGATATAACATTTTTAAACAATTATGGTTTATTTTTTTAATAGTTTTGGAAATTTTGTAGGAAAAGTCGGACATTCTTGGTTTTAGATAGACGCATTAATCAATCGTTTGTAAGAATCGATGGATAAACGGCCAAGTTGACAAAATACCGGCCGATCTTGGCCCTTTTATGCAGCTGGCTATCGCACCTGAGACCCGGAAATAATTGCTTATTGCTAACTTACGATTATTGGGTGACAATAATTGTGGGGCGTGGTAAGTGGGTCGAAGCTTGGTGCTTCGTTGACAATTGCTTAGTGGGTCAGTTTTTTTTGATGAGAGTGTTTATCTGAGGTTAAGCTTCGTTGACAATTGCTTAGTGGGTCAGTGTTTTTTGATGAGAGTGTTTATCTGAGGTTGCATCGCAGTAGGTGCGGGCTGCAGTTGGGAATTTGGTTTTTGCTACCTTCGCATCTCGGAAGGTGATATCTGAATTTGCGTCGAGCGATTGCGAAATATCGCAAAGTGCGGGGTGACCGATAATTTTGTGTGTGTTGAGAGGTTATGAGAATTGGGTTTTTGTTACCTCCGCATTGCGGATTTTGGATCGAGGATTGCGAAATATCGCAAAGTACGGTGTAAATTCTTAGTCTTAGTTTATTTTATTTGTTTTGAAGATGTTTTGGTGGGGGTACTGTGGGCCAGGGTTTGACTCCGTTTGTCAGTTTGATTCTTGTTCTGAATGGTGTAGGTGTGCTGAAACTTCGCCGTTTGTGACGAGCCATGGTTAGAACGATGGTTCGTTACACACCCCCCTATCTTCCGGGTGGGTGATGGAGAGATTAGTGGCGTCGGCGGAGTTGCTTGGCGGGTGATGAGGTTCGCCTTTTTCTGGGTTCTCCTGTCCTTGTGCTTGTGCCGAGTCTTTGGATTCGTCGGTGTTAATCTAGTCACTTTAGCGTGGCGTCGGTAACGTTATATTTTCTACTGCTGCTGTGATCGTGATCTTTCTGCTGTTCTGGGTGCTTTGTAGTTGGTCTCTGCTTGGTGGGTCGATTATCCCATATGACGATGGTTTTCTCGGTGGTTACTTTGGTCGTTCTTTGTCCAGGCATTCTTGGGTTTGTCGAGTGTGCTGGACGGTTCGATCCTCCTTTGGTAGTCGCTTATGTGGGCGACGATCGGTGTGGCGTCGGCCGTGGGTACGACAGGGTGGCCGTCGGTGTATCGTGGGGTTATCGTCCTGGTTTCCGTGACCGCGTTGAGGGGCTCTGTGGATACTAGTTCGATTTTTGGCCCCGACCAGCGTGGGGTTAGCGTGGCTGTTTCCCGTGTTGCTGGGCGGTGAGATTGTGGCTGCCGTTGTCCTGGTTCGATGCTGGTGGTCGGCTTTGAGGGTGTTCGTGTGTTCAATTCTTCCGTTGCGGATTCTGTGCGTGCTTGCTCTGTTGCTTGTCTTGGACCTGAGCTTCCTGTATCGAGCGCTGGGTTCAAGTGTGTTTGTCTCGTGTGTAAGATCCTCGTGGTTTGTTTGGGATGCGTGTTCCCTGTTGTTGGCCTATTGCGCGGTTGGTCCGTAGTGACCGTGGGACTCGTGGTTTTCGATTGCTTGATTGCTGTTTGCTGGTTTTGTCCTTGGATTCGTGTTCTCCGTAGTGTGCCTTTGCTTCGTATTCGTTACGATTGGTTTGGGTGTCAAGTGCTGCGTTGCGTTATTGGGTGACGTGTTCGTTGTGGTAGGTCGTGGACGTGGGTTCGTTGCGATTTGTTGGGGTTTTTGGTATCGGGGTTCGGCGTCTTGTACGTGGATAGTAGTAAGCACGGGTTCAGTGGGCATGGGGCGACGGTTTCGTAGCTGTAGCAGCGTGGTGGCGCATTGGACCGTCGTTTCGGTGGCACCTAGGAAGTCCATGCCGACAATAACTTGTCCCAACATGTTTGGCAGGACCAGGAGCGGGATTTGAACCTCTCGTTGATCCAGCTTGATGTGTGCCAGTAGGACTTGTGAGATCTCTCTGACCGAGCCATCGGCCAGGCGTATGCGGACGCATGCATCTTGCAGGTTGGTGTTGTTGTCTAGTTGTCGGGCGAGGTTTGCGCTGATGAAGCTTCTGGATGCCCTGGTGTCGATTGTGGCTTCCGTTGCGTGTCCTCCTATGGTCACCATCGCCACTATCCGGCCGTTGCTCACGTGTAGAGAGTTATTTAGTCGCGGGTTGGAGGAGGCGTCGTTTCCGGCTGATCCCGTGTCAGTTGGGGACGCATGTCGTTTCCCGACGTGTTATGGCGGCAGCAATTTACGGTCCGTGTGCCGCGTTTGCCACATTCCCAGCAGAATAGGATCGAGGGATTATTGCAGTCGTATGCCGCATGCCCGGCTTCACCACACCGGCGACAGGCTGTGCGTGGGTTGGCGATGGGGGTCGTGATCATGCGAGGTGCTACATCGGGATTCGTCGTTTTGGATGATGAGCTGGCGGTCTCCCTGGTGTGTCTGTCGATTCCCAATGGGGACTCAGAAATGGCGTCTGGTGCGAGTCGCAATTCCTCTGCTCTGAAGCCGGCCTTGCGTATCTCGGGATGGTCCGCTCTTGGATGCTCTCGAACTATGTGACCAACATTGTGAGGTGTGCTAAGATTTGATATGCTGGCAGGGCGTTATCGTAGATCCTGTTCAGTTCTTTGGCTGCGTCGTACCTGGCGTGGTGCATGAGTAGACGTCTCTCGATGAGGTAATCTTTGAACAATTCCCCTACCGCTAGCTTGCGGGGCCGGATTCGGTCTTTCAATTGTTCAAAATACCGTGGCGGCAAGAAGAACGTAAAGAATTCTTGACGGAAAGCGACTGGCCCGATCGGTGAGAAGCTCTGTCATGGCCCGAGGTAGCTGATTTGTGTCCACCCAATATGAGAGCGCACGTTCTTCGAGTAGTTTTGGATTTGGATTTGAAAGCTTAATATTTACCAGACGGTAACCTAAAACCACAAAGTGCTGGGGCATATTTTTTGTAACTGCATCAATTAGCTTTTCAAAATAACAAAGTTCTTTGCAACCATAAGTATGATACTTGACTGATGTGAAAAAAGCTCTACATCTAAAGAAAGCTTAAAAATACGAGTTTTCAACGATTTGTCAATAAAGGGTTCTTCCATAGAAAAATAATACCATAATTCTTTAAAAAAATTAAAGCTCCCAATCTATCAGAAGAAGTCAGTTTTGTTCCTTGAAGTTTGGTTTAAAAAATATCCTTAAATCAAGAAGTGTTCACTTTTAAACATCTACGAAAAAAAATCATTGTAATCTTTTGGTTAGGAAAAAATTGTTTTCTGTTATTACGTTTAAAACGCGATCTGATGGAAAAAATGGAGATCATATTTGAAATCAGCGACCTCAAATTAGTAAAAAACTTCAATCAGTTTTCAATTAACACACAAGAAGTCC